GTATCATCTAAAAATCACCACAGAGCTGGGAAAGGGAGATAAGCTTCTGGAATTAGGGGGTCTCCAAGGAATACATCTATTATAGAGTAGACTTCAATTTAAACTTGATTGATACAGGAGCTTCCAAGGGGTCATCAATGAAATGTCTATCACGAGAGAAATAAACTTGCTGGAAGAACTTCTGGAAAGTCCTGAGCTATGTCTGGAGGACACGTTCATCATTGCGGGATACACCAACCCAGCGGCGGTGGGGAGACAGAAGGAAATATGGTTCCTTCAAAGACCATAGCTTCCCACTGCTAAAGCCTACCCATTATCCAACTTCAGTTTTTATTTAAGCTTGCAAGTGAATCACATGAAAGAGTTAATGAAAACTGTGGATAATTATTCACATATTTATATGTCTATTTTTCTAAAATATGTCTCATTGCATCAAATTACCATGACAGGTATTTTAACTTACTTCTTCAGGTGGTAACAGTTAACACCTGAAACTTGCTGCCAATTTTGAAAGAATTTCTTATGCACAATTTCCTATTAAATATTTAACATTTTACAGTTATACACAATTTTTCAACACTTTTCAGAATTGATCCCTGTTGTTTTTCGGATGAGCTGAACTCAAACACAAGACAGAATAGTTCACAAGTTAATATATTTTTTAACAGCAAAACCTGCTGTTGAACATTTGCTATAATAGTTTTTGCATTATTGTATCTCTGGAGTGTCCTAAATAGGAAGGGAAAATTAACTAATGCAATTCTGACAACACTGATTAGTTTTGAGAATTCCACCGTCAAGAACAGATTCTTCCTACTCATCTCAAAAGGCATTTATCCAAAGTATTTTTCACCTTAGAAAGGGTGTGGGATGTGAAGGGACTGTCCCATTACTCATTCAAGCCTTGACAACAAATATTTTTCTTAACCCCATTATAACTCTTCATTTGACTGAATATGCCATCAGCAGACAGAAGCATTGCTGCTAGTCAAATATTCCATTTTCTAAACATAAAGCAATATGAACTTCAGAACCAATCTAAGGGTGCACGTTGATTAATTTAGAAGGCTGGTGTTAGAATAAGAATCCATTCTAACTACAAAATTAAAACCATAAATGTAGAATGACAAGAATTACTGTTAAGAATTACTAGCATAATTTATTGCCTCTTAAAAAAAAAAAAATCATTAGGTCAATTTTAATTCTGCAGCTGAAAGGTGTTTTTTCCCCCCCTTACAGAAAATATGCAAGTTTATAGTTTAATACTAATACTATTAAAGTACTGTAAAAATGAACATCTTAATACATTCTGGAATATAATTATCATGAGAGAATTTTGAGCTTGGAAATATATTTTGTTTAGGAATTTCACTTCCTAGTACATCCAAAGAAATCTAGATTTTATGGACTAAACTCGTAGCTTCACTGAATAAGAAATGTAGTAAAGTACTATAAAATTGTAAAATTTAGTTATGAAAATTATTTATCCGGTACAAGACTTAGATCAACTCAAGCACGTATGTTGTGATTTTTGGTCATGACAATATATAGCATAAATTATTCAAAGTAAATGTATTACTTTCTTATTGCACCGCATGAGTAAAAGTGATGTTATTTGTGATTAGATGTATAGACAGCCATTAGAAGTGTTCTCCTAAATCAGGTTAAAGACTCTCATCCCCTTGTATTCAGCACAATGTAGGTTTTTTCATTGTTTAATGAAAAACAAATTCTGACAAACCTATAATAACCAAGTTCTTTCTCATGCATCCGATTTAAATTTGTAATAACTCCAAGTATTATTTTAAATGCCAAATGAAATATTTTACAGAAGCTGAAATATATTGTTCACAAGAGTTAACATACACAGAAATATTCTGAAACCCAGTGACAGTTTTCTGACTGTACAATTGCAAACAGGTAATGTAGTCAAGCAGCTAACAGCATGAACAAAAAGAATTTTCAAAATATTTTTAGCCAGTGTTTCAGTACTTCTAATCAGCAAATAGGCCAATATTGAAGTGTGACCACCATCTGCATAATGGAGTGTACTGCTTTCAAACTAGAGCTTTTTCACAGAGTAGGAGTGAAAAAATCTTTGCAAGTAAAAGATATGGAAAATCAGTTCTCAAAGCCCATTCCATATCTCAAAGATATGGAAATTCAATTCAAAGCACATTCTGTTAAATTTAAACAAAATGGTGGCAACTACCAAGCCAAGTGTTCCTTTTCTCCCAAATACGTAAATGTCATAATAGTCTTTAAAATCATGGTACTTTCCATGCCATAAAATATGCTAGATTTGCATTTTCAGACTTGATCTGTTTTAGCAAGTATGGTCAAGAGAGTAATCAAGGCACCCTCTTGTGGCTGCAGAGGATACCCAAGGGAGAGTGAAGACTATGCGTAGTAAGGGGAGGCGATGGGGAAATAGCCTGTCACAAATCTCACCATGTGCTAATTTTTTACTGGTTACTGCCTCAGCTTTAAGAGCAATTCAGTATTACTTTGCATCCAGTTGTGGAAATTGTTGTTGCTTCCCATCTATTTACCACTTAAAATTAGTGATATACCACAGTGGAAGTGTTTAATGTTATTTTGTGCAAAAATAAAGGATCTATGTATAAAGTTAGTATTTATTTTTACCTGTATTAAATTGCTTATACTGTTGAGAATTAATCAATCCTAAATTTGAAGATGCAGTGTATGATCATGGAAGACACTGCTCATTTCTTAGACTACTTTTACAGTAAGGGATGCTATGAACCACGTTTTCTCATGTATGCACAGATTTACAAAGCAGTCTATATACAGCACGTTGATGAAAGTTATGAAATGTTACCACGACAAATACATGCATCAATGTCCAAGGCAGCCTGAACCTCTGCCAAACCAGAAAATTCATTTTCCAACCCTGCTGCTTAGTTTCTCTCAACTGAACAGGCATTTTATTGTATTGCTCTTTTAGCTGCAATACTTCAAACCATTAAATAATTAATATTTAATTTGATATTTAAATAACTGATACAATACACCTAAAAGTAGCTCTAACTAGAAATCATTCACCTGATCAAATCCGAGTAGTTTGAATAATTCAGCCTTAAAAAAAAAAAAAAATGTTGTCCTGCCTACTATGCATTTTTCAAACTAATATTAGTGCCTAAAAAGTTTAATCTGGTTATTGTGATATTCAGGGCCCTGCTTATTGTACAAAAATATGTATAACTATGTAGGTATATTTATATCAGTTCCATAAGTACAGTGGGATTTTCCCAGCTTTGTTGAATGGCTGCTGTGTTGTTTTATGCTGCATTTCATTTTCACTGAAACTTGTGTCTTGTTTACTGTTACAGTTTTCAAAAATAAAGCTAAGATTTTATTGTGCATGGAGTGTATCTGGGTCCAGCCTTTCAGTATTGGCACACAAATTCACTCTATTAAAGGGTCAGCACAAATAGGAGGCTGGACAGACTACATATTTACACTGACGTAATCTACACTGGTTTTGTACACCCATGTGAGAGAGAGATGCAAAAAAAGGACAGACCCAGCAATTCTGTGGTAGCTACCAGCGGTAGGTGCTATTATGGCAGCCAGCCACCAGGTAGTGGATGAGCAAATCATCACCTGCTTATACTGAGCAAGCTGCTACCCCAGGCTGGAAGCAGACTGACCACACCAGGGGCTCTCAGGCTCAGGGACAGGACATCCCTCAATACTTCTTTTTTTTCTGAATGTGGAGGTAGCCTCCATTGAGAACCACTGTCAATGCTGCTTCTGAGCATCTCCATGCTTCTCAACCCAGTTCTGCTGCTTCCAAATAAAACTGCCCTGTGTGCCTGCTGCACAGCCACCCTGGAAGGGCTGTTGCATGTACACACATTCCTCCTCCATTTGGGCTACAATAAGCCTAAAGTGGGAACTGCCTCATGCTGTATTACCCCTCCCAGTCTCAAGAACAGAGGCAGGCAGCTGGAACTGCCCCACATACCTCTGTTTTCAGGAGGGGCATGGGAGTGACTGGACTAGGAGGGCCACAGCAGCCCAGCCCCTGCCTGTTCGAGGCTGATCAAAGCTCTAATGCAGCAAGAGTGAATGCAGGGCAGTTTTACCTGGCTGCCACAGTGGCAGCATCTGTGCCACAGCACTCCTGATGGGGACTTGTGGCATCCCCAGTTGAGAACCACTGGGCCACACCTACCTTGATTTTACTTAGGGTAAATCCACACTGAATTTAGGTCACATCATCTGGCTATGAACGTGCCCCACTGCACAGAGACAGTGCATTTTCCTATACTATTACACAACCTGCTATTCTTAAACCACAACATGTGTTTTTACTGGAAATACATGAGTGCCAAAGTTTGACTGCACCAAGCTGCAGAAATCACGTAAGTCTGCTCTTTCCAATTTATACCATGTCTGGAGAAATCACAAGCATGACCAAAACTTCACTGACAAAGCAGATTCAACTGATATGCGAAACCTTTCCACTAGTAGGTATGGCTAAGAAAGACTACTGAAACAGTCTAATTTTTAACAGTTTTTTGGTACTAATTACAATCAATTCAGCCCCAGTGTGGCATATGCTGGAAATTCATGAGCAACACACATAATGACTTGGCTGATTTTGGACGCAATGTTGTCATGACAAAAGCAGAAAGATGTGTGCTTCTATCTGGGGCTCTGCAGCTGGAAAAAGTCAGTTTCCTGGTGATGTGTGGATTACATCTGAACTATGCTTTTCTCAGGTACACTTATAATGGCTTCTGTGGGGCCATCCATCTACTAGAACCTCAACTCAGGAAAACCTGACTGTGTGACCAAGTGCTAACACTTCTGCTCACCACTAACCCGGTGTGTATTTGGCATATTCCTTACTGGTGGAAAAGGTAACTTCTTAGATAAGAAGTATTTAAGAGAAATGTGGTCCACTTATAACACCCCTATGAAAAAGCAACATTTCTACAAACACGAAAAGAAGCGTTTGATTTAATATGCAGAATAAAGTGATAACTTTTGTGGAACCGTAGCAACATCACTGGTAGCAATCAGTGCAGTTGACATCATTAATGCCATGTACCGGCCAATCTTTAAGCCGCCAGTTTAGACCCCGAACCTAGTTTACGCAAGGATTTCTTATATGGAATAACATTCTTTATCTTATATTTTTACTTCTATCAAAGCTTTTAATTTTAAACATTATTCTATATCGCTGTGAAGTCAAACACAAAAGCAGCACAAAGCAAATCAGTATTAACAAAAGTGAAACTACCCATTCTGTTTTACTGCTTAAAACTGATTATAAAGCTAAAAAGTCGGAAGTGTGAATAATGAGGCTTTATAAAAAAACATTTGTTAAAAGATTACCACGTTTATTATTTCTATAGTAACATTATCCATTTAATAGTGAAACTGCCAACTCACCCGGATGTAAGCACTCTGAAATTCTGCTAGTTCTTCACCGAGCGGAACAACAATTTTTTCCATTTGTCGCACATGAGAGTAAGGACGAATGTCTGGGGAATCTTCAGAACATATCTCTATTTGTGCAATCAATAGGTTGGAAATAACTTGCTGCACAGCCTAGGAAGAAATCACAAGAATGGAGTGCCTTACATGATGTATTTTTCTTCAAGTCACTCCCATATTGAAAATCAAGGATATGTGAAATTTAGAATCCTAGAGAGAACTGGGGAAACTATTTAGACTAATAAAGACCTACAGATGGTACTTTTCCAACTGTCTCTATTTTAGCTGGGAAGCATGATCTCGATAGACCATCAGCCACTGAAAACAGTCAGAACATGCTTTTTATATTATACAAGTCAGTGGTTTTCAACATTTAAATAAATTTAAAATGGAAATGCGGATCCCATTGGAAATTTCAAATGGAAGTGTGGACACCTTTGAATTGTAAGTGTGGGTATTCACATACTTTTGATTGATCATAGTCATCTTTTGCAAACCACTTAAGACCAGGGCTAGAAGGGACTTCAGGAGGTCACATCCAGTCCAATCCCCTTGTCAAGGCAGGATTATCCTTGTATAAACCATCCTAAACACAAGTCTGTCCAACCTGCTCTTAAAAACCTCTAAAGATGGAGATTGCACCACCTAGGTAGCCTGTTCAAGTGAGAAAGTTATTCCTAAACTCCAACCTCAATTCCCTTGCCACCACTTAAAACCATTGCTCCTTGTATTGGCCCCTGTGGACGCAGAGAATT